ACCCTAAACCTTAAACCCTCAATCCTATAAGCCTTATACGCCTTAAGCGCTAAACAGCCCCCCAAAACAGGTACCTTGGTACGTCCCCAAAGAACCGCTGACAAATTCACTAAAATTTCAGGGCTATCCACCCACCCCCCAAAACAAAAATAAATCCAAAGAACATGATAAGGGCCATAAACCTTATAAAGCGTCTGAACAAAATCCTATCAGCCCCTAAATGAGCCAATCAGAAGAGGGGAAGCTGTTCTCCAGGATTGGGTACCTAGTGGCCCGGCAGCAGACGAAGCCTGCTGCCTTTGTGGCGGCGGCACTACGATGCCAGCTTCTTGACCGAGAGTTTTGGGGAAGTGGAATTATGGGTTTTTCGGAATGGACGGCTCTGCTTCTTGTCGGTTTAGGTATATCAGGCTTTTGTGCGGGCTGGGAAGAGTTCACTTCGGGTGGAAGGCGGTCCAAACCTTGTTTCCGATAGCACCACCTCTGAGTCATAGGAAGCATCAGCGAAAGTGCTCTGACTCGTATTTCGGGAATTTCAGAAGATGCGGGTGCTTCATTATAGATCCTGAATCGTGCTTGATGCTTGCCCCTCCTGTTTTAGGACCCCCACACATCGTTTCTTTTCTGTTCCTCGGCCTTTGGCGATCTAGGAGCACCATTGCAGGCCCAAGTCCGTACAATACATGCACATGTACCCTTAGGGAGTCAGATATTTCCGGCAACTCGCAGGCGCAGAGCTAACAGGGTGCCCAAGCCCAAGCCGCGCTGAGGACTTACCTCCAGTTGAGGAGGAGTGCTCAACAGTCAACTGCCCTGCCAACTCACATGGTCTTTCGGCTTGCGATTGGAGCCTGAATCCTCTAAACCCCTATATCCCCTCAAGGTTTAGTGCTGCATGTTTCTGTTCTGAGCTCGAAGCTCTTAGACTGCAGATCCCATTTCAAAGCCCGTATGGCCTTACCCAAAGGCCCCAAAGTAGTTCCTTTTTGGGGTTCATATATAGAATCCTATAAGGTAATCCCAAAAAGGAACTACTTTGGGGCGTATGGGTAAAGCTACGACCCTGGTTCTTCGAAGGGGATGGGTTAGAGGGACTACTATAAGGGACCTTCAGGAATTATTCTAGGCCTCCATTTCCCCCAATCCCCACTGACTAAGAAGTAGTGAGTCGATACTCCCAAGTCCGAGAGTCTGTAAAGCTTTGTAAGCCCAAAAGCGCTCAAGTTCCTTCGGCACTAAGCCGCAACCTCTCACCCCCAACCTTAAACCCGAACCTCGATGCAAGTATAGGGATCGAAAAAGTTACCAATACTATTTCGGTGGTTCCTTATTATAGTAATAGCACGATGGCCCCCAGAACCCTATTCTAATTATGGAGGCCCCCATATTACGCATAAATAAAGGGCTTGCGAGCTGAAGGAATTTCGGGCTATTGAGTGCAAGAATCTGCAAGCCTAGGGGTGAGAGTTCAGGGGTTTAGGGTTTAGGGGCACCCTAGGGACCCAAGTACCTAACAATCATATACTCTCCCACATACTAATCTACAAACTGCAGCAACCTCATTAAGAATCCCTGGCCCTATAACCCCGAAATATTAGGATCCATATACGGAACCCTTATAAAGACCCAGGGTTTTCTTAATCAGGTTCCTACATTATCTACTATCCTATACCCAACTGCCTTACTCTTGAGTCCTTTGGACCCTAGGGGGGTGTCGGCATTCAGCGCTTCGGGTTTTGATCGAAACCTTGAGCGACCCAAACATACTTTTTGCACTATGAACTCTATAGTCTGTTTGTAGGATGAGCCTACAGCAAAATAGGTTTTGGTGGTTTAAGGTAGGGTTTAGGGTGTAGGGATCCGCCTGGCATCCAGAGCAGCGCGCTTTTTCTCCTGCGCCCTTCTTGTAAAGAACTTAGACTATCAACGTAAGAAAGCCCACAGGGTGACATACCTCCCCTCCTAGAGTTCCTTAAGCTTCTGGAGTCGGAGTGGATTTGTCGCCTAAACCCTAAACCCTAAATCTTTCAAGTCGAGGGTGCAGGATACCTTAAATCATAATAGGATCCCTAATATAGTTTAAGGTATATTCCTTAATTAAGGGGTTTTGGAGACTCTGGGCTGGTACCCTAAACCCTAAACCCCTAAACCCTAAACCCTAAACTAAACCCTAAACCTTTCAAGCCGAGGGTGCAGGAAGCCCTGGTATTTCTTTGCAACTGCGCAGATTTTTTTGCAGCAGTGGATGGTGCAGTCATGGCAGAGCCGAGAGCTTTGGGTTTTTTGTATCTTTTGTGGGGGGCCCCTATAAATCCTATATTAGGGCTTCTAATAAGAGCCTACCAAAATGTAGGTTTTGGTAGGTTTAGGTAGGGTTTAAGGTTTCGGAGATTTTCAGGGGTTCTTCAGATTTTTTCCGGCCTTCGGCTTTGGAGTTTAGGCTTTAGGGTTTAAGGCTGAAGGGTTGAAGGTTTCGGGAGGGCCAAGTGTTTTACCACAGATACCCCCCCCCCCCCAAACCCGAATTCTCATACCTTCAAAGCCTATAACCCCAAACCGTAGCAGGTTTGGGAGTGCTGCATGGCTGCACCTGCGACGCCGGGCATTCCGGCGCCATACTTCGATCTGAGGAGCATCTTGGGCCGAGAAAACATGCGGGCTTGTTCAATGTTTTCGGGCTTAGGGCATCTAAGTTTAGGGTCTAAGTTCAATTAGGGTTTATAGTAGGATTCAGGTTGTAGGTTTTGTTCAGGACATAGGACCTCTAGTGGTTTAGGGTTTAATTTAGGCTTTAGGGCTTAGGGCCTTTGGGGTTTAGGCCTTAGGGCAGGGTTTGGGTTTCATCTAGGGTTTCGGGTTGGGGAAATTTTGTTTAGTGAGCCCTGCCAGCTCCGAGAGGTGGCTCTCCGAAATAGCCTGTACTTACCTTTGGTTAGTAGGGAATGGAGGAATGGGGTACAATTATAATAACTACTATTACTACCATTCTTCTATTCCCTACTAACCAAAGGTAAGTGTAACGGTCACTGGCGAGGGGAGGGAACGAGGTTTCGGGAGGGGAAAGAGGGAACCTCCGACCGCTTCGGCCCGGGGGTGAGACGAATATAAGGCGCAGAGGCTGAATATGAGGATTAATGATTAATTTAAGGTTTAGGTCGAGGGGTTCCTTCTATGCTTTCTCTCAAGAGGTTCCTCCTTTAGCGACCATGGTATAAGGACTTCCCAACACAAAGAGGCACCCTTACGGTAAGGTGGCTGCGACTGAATCCACCTGCCCTGCTAAGATATAAAGCATGAGGTATGCTTTATTTTCTGGGACTACTACCCTTTTTGTCGAAGCAAAGGGTACTTCTCAATTTTGGTATGTGAGACTACACCCTGCAGCCAATCTCAGCCTCCAAAGCCCCAAAATCATAATCATCATCAACCCTAAACCCCTAACCCCTAAACCCCTAAACTCGAAACCCTACAACCCGAAACCCAAAACCCAAAAACCCAAAAGCCCTAAACCCCTAAACCCTATCATGATCCTACAAGAGGTACCCGTTCTTTTCTGGGACCTGCACGGCTGTCAAATGCCCGGAGCACTCCACGGGCTCTGGGGTGCCCTCGGGCTGCCCCTTGGCAGGAAAATTCTGCAAACGAAGCCCTTAGCTTCGATTTTGGGTTCAGGGTTTTGGGTTTCTGGGTTTTTGGGTTTAGGGTTTAGGGTTTAGGGTTTAGGGTTTCTGGGTTTTTGGGTTTTGGTTTTAGGGTTTCGGGTTTAGGTTTTTTGGTATAAGACCCCCTGTAGTCCGCAAAATATTGGAACGTGAATTTCTCATAGGGGCCTCAATGATGGCAATCGTATTCCCGTATAGTCCTGATAGAAGTTTACAACTCGACAATAAAACACCCAGTGCCTTTTATTGAGGCCCGGATTGTGAAAGCAGTATCACTGCCGGAACCTGTCTGTTGTATGAAAGTTGTTCTACTCTACCGGTTGGGGGTGTATCAGGGTTTTGGATTGACTGTTTACGCAGCGATTTAGGGTTCTGGGGTTCCACCCGTAGCGTTACTACTCGAGTCTGCTCTAAACGTGGAGTGCTGATCAAATAGTTTGACCTAAGAATCTTCTGACAGATTCGAGCACGCTCCGGTTCAGGCGTGTGCGATCCTGGCTACATCGGTGAGATCGAGGCCACCCAAGAGGAGCCCTACTATGCGGGAAGCTGCGAGACAACCACCAGCACCCTGCCAACGACAAGTAGCATGAAGCTCGGCTTCCTTGCGGCACCTTTTGTTCCCGTGGCTGGGATCCCGATATAGACATGGACTTCAGCTCGCAACCGTTTGATATTCAGTCCCCAAAGCGAGATTCGGCTGGTGTTGGCGATGTACCAACTTGCTGTACACACCCCACCAAGACGCCCCAAACCCTACACTCTAGACTCTGTCAGCACCTTAAGCGCTAAAACCTCCAACTCGTTCCCTAGCCGCTAAGCCGTTCGCATGTTCTCTGCCTGGGGCCCAGGACTCACAGCACGTCGACGTCAAACACAAGGACCCAAAGAGTCTGTGCGAAGGCTCTTTGTGTTCTCTGACATATGCACCTTAGTGAGTGTGTGTGTGTATATATATATATATGTGTATATATATATATATATGTATATATATATATATATATGTATATATATATATATGTATATATATATATATATGTATATGTATATGTATATGTATATATATGTATGCATCCATACGTATAAATGAATATATATATATATATATATATATATAGATAGATAGATAGATAGGTAGATAGATAGAACATCATCGATACTGGTTCGGACTTCTTCTAGGGCGAAAGCGGAGGTCAGGATTTGTCGTTTAAGGGAGTTAAGTAAGGATTCGTAGTGGATATCTGGGAAGCCAGGGTCTATTGGGGTTTCACGGAACTTAGGGTGAGGGGAATCTGAGGTTACGGGTTCAGAGAGCCTTCTGGGAGCTGTTGTCAGGACTCAAGCCGTCCGAGCCACTACAACAGCCATGATCTTGGAGATGACGCGAACCAGCACAAACTTGGATGAGTCGGAAGAAACAGCCACCAGCACAACAGGATCTTTCACTGCGACTTCGAGCAGCAGAAGCACGAGCCAAAGCACTGAGAGCTCTACGTCGTCTTCCACGAAGGTGTTGATGCTCAGCAGTACCAGCACGACCGGGTCTTTCTCGACGACCTCGAGCAGCAGAAGCACGAGCCAGACAAGCCGCACCAGCACTGGGAGCTTTACTTTGTCTTCCGCGAAGGTGCTGACGCTCAGCAGCACCAGCACGACAGGGTCTTTCTCTACGACCTCGAGCAGCAGAAGCACGAGCCAAACAAGCCGCACCAGCACTGGGAGCTCTACTTTGTCTTCCACGAAGGTGTTGATGCTCAGCAGTACCAGCACGACAGTGTCTTTCTCTACGACCTCGGGCAGCAGAAGCACGAGCCAAACAAGCCGCACCAGCACTGGGAGCTCTACTTCGTCTTCCACGAAGGTGTTGACGCTCAGCACTACCAGCACGACAGGGTCTTTCTCTACGACCTCGAGCAGCAGAAGCACGAGCCAAACAAGCCGCACCAGCACTGGGAGCTCTACTTCGTCTTCCACGAAGGTGCTGACGCTCAGCAGCACCAGCACAACAGGATCTTTCACTGCGACTTCGAGCAGCAGAAGCACGAGCCAAAGCACTGAGAGCTCTACGTCGTCTTCCACGAAGGTGTTGATGCTCAGCAGTACCAGCACGACCGGGTCTTTCTCGACGACCTCGAGCAGCAGAAGCACGAGCCAGACAAGCCGCACCAGCACTGGGAGCTTTACTTTGTCTTCTGCGAAGGTGCTGACGCTCAGCAGCACCAGCACGACAGGGTCTTTCTCTACGACCTCGAGCAGCAGAAGCACGAGCCAAACAAGCCGCACCAGCACTGGGAGCTCTACTTTGTCTTCCACGAAGGTGTTGATGCTCAGCAGTACCAGCACGACAGTGTCTTTCTCTACGACCTCGGGCAGCAGAAGCACGAGCCAAACAAGCCGCACCAGCACTGGGAGCTCTACTTCGTCTTCCACGAAGGTGTTGACGCTCAGCACTACCAGCACGACAGGGTCTTTCTCTACGACCTCGAGCAGCAGAAGCACGAGCCAAACAAGCCGCACCAGCACTGGGAGCTCTACTTCGTCTTCCACGAAGGTGCTGACGCTCAGCAGCACCAGCACGACAGGGTCTTTGTCTACGACCTCGAGCAGCAGAAGCACGAGCCAAACAAGCCGCACCAGCACTGGGAGCTCTACTTTGTCTTCCACGAAGGTGTTGACGCTCAGCAGTACCAGCACGACAGTGTCTTTCTCTACGACCTCGGGCAGCAGAAGCACGAGCCAAACAAACCGCACCAGCACTGGGAGCTCTACTTCGTCTTCCACGAAGGTGTTGGCGCTCAGCAGTACCAGCACCACAGGGTCTTTCTTTTCGACCTCGAGCAGCAGAAGCACGAGCCAAACAAGCCGCACCAGCACTGGGAGCTCTACTTTGTCTTCCACGAAGGTGTTGACGCTCAGCAGTACCAGCACGACAGGGTCTTTCTCTACGACCTCGAGCAGCAGAAGCACGAGCCAAACAAGCCGCACCAGCACTGGGAGCTCTACTTCGTCTTCCACGAAGGTGTTGACGCTCAGCAGTACCAGCACGACAGGGTCTTTCTCTACGACCTCGAGCAGCAGAAGCACGAGCCAAACAAGCCGCACCAGCACTGGGAGCTTACTCGTCTTCCACGAAGGTGTTGAGGCTCAGCAGTACCAGCACGACAGGGTCTTTTTCTACGACCTCGAGCAGCAGAAGCACGAGCCAAACAAGCCGCACCAGCACTGGGAGCTCTACTTCGTCTTCCACGAAGGTGTTGACGCTCAGCAGTACCAGCACGACAGGGTCTTCTCTACGACCTCGGGCAGCAAACCGCACCAGCACGAGACGAGCAGTTGCTACGACCTCGAGCACAGAAGCACGAGCCAAACAAGCCGCACCAGCACTGGGAGCTCTACTTCGTCTTCCACGAAGGTGTTGACGCTCAGCAGTACCAGCACGACAGGGTCTTTTTCTACGACCTCGAGCAGCAGAAGCACGAGCCAAACAAGCCGCACCAGCACTGGGAGCTCTACTTCGTCTTCCACGAAGGTGTTGACGCTCAGCAGTACCAGCACGACAGGGTCTTTCTCTACGACCTCGAGCAGCAGAAGCACGAGCCAAACAAGCCGCACCAGCACTGGGAGCTCTACTTCGTCTTCCACGAAGGTGTTGACGCTCAGCAGTACCAGCACGACAGGGTCTTTCTCTACGACCTCGAGCAGCAGAAGCACGAGCCAAACAAGCCGCACCAGCACTGGGAGCTCTACTTCGTCTTTTACGAAGGTGTTGACGCTCAGCAGTACCAGCACGACAGGGTCTTTCTCTACGACCTCGAGCAGCAGAAGCACGAGCCAAACAAGCCGCACCAGCACTGGGAGCTTTACCTCGTCTTCCACGAAGGTGTTGAGGCTCAGCAGTACCAGCACGACAAGGTCTTTTTCTACGATCTCGAGCAGCAGAAGCACGAGCCAAACAAGCCGCACCAGCACTGGGAGCTCTACTTCGTCTTCCACGAAGGTGTTGACGCTCAGCAGTACCAGCACGACAGGGTCTGTCACGGCGACCACGAGCAGTACTACTTCGTCTTCCAGGAAGGTGTTGACGCTCAGCAGTACCAGCACGACGGGGTCTTTCACTACGACCTCGAGCAGCAGAAGCACGAGCCAAACGAGCCGCACCAGCACTGGGAGCTCTACTTGGTCTTCCACGAAGGTGTTGACGCTCAGCAGTACCGGCACGACAGGGTCTTTCTCTACGACTTCGAGCAGCAGAAGCACGAGCCAGACAAGCCGCACCAGCACTGGGAGCTCTACTTTGTCTTCCGCGAAGGTGCTGACGCTCAGCAGCACCAGCACGACAGGGTCTTTCTCTACGACCTCGAGCAGCAGAAGCACGAGCCAAACAAGCCGCACCAGCACTGGGAGCTCTACTTTGTCTTCCACGAAGGTGTTGATGCTCAGCAGTACCAGCACGACAGTGTCTTTCTCTACGACCTCGGGCAGCAGAAGCACGAGCCAAACAAGCCGCACCAGCACTGGGAGCTCTACTTCGTCTTCCACGAAGGTGTTGACGCTCAGCACTACCAGCACGACAGGGTCTTTTTCTACGACCTCGAGCAGCAGAAGCACGAGCCAAACAAGCCGCACCAGCACTGGGAGCTCTACTTCGTCTTCCACGAAGGTGCTGACGCTCAGCAGCACCAGCACGACAGGGTCTTTGTCTACGACCTCGAGCAGCAGAAGCACGAGCCAAACAAGCCGCACCAGCACTGGGAGCTCTACTTTGTCTTCCACGAAGGTGTTGACGCTCAGCAGTACCAGCACGACAGGGTCTTTTTCTACGACCTCGAGCAGCAGAAGCACGAGCCAAACAAACCGCACCAGCACTGGGAGCTCTACTTCGTCTTCCACGAAGGTTTCGACGCTCAGCAGTATCGGCACGACAGGGTCTTTCACTACGACCTCGAGCAGCAGAAGCACGAGCCAGACAAGCCGCACCAGCACTGGGAGCTCTACTTCTTCTTCCACGAAGGTGTTGACGCTCAGTAGTACCAGCACGACAGGGTCTTTCTCTACGACCTCGAGCAGCAGAAGCACGAGCCAAACAAGCCGCACCAGCACTGGAAGCTCTACTTCGCCTTCCACGAGGGTGTTAACGCTCAGCAGCACCAGCACGACCGGGTCTTTCTCTACGACCTCGAGCAGCAGAAGCACGAGCCAAACAAGCCGCACCAGCACTGGGAGCTCTACTTCGTCTTCCACGAGGGTGTTGACGCTCAGCAGTACCAGCACGACAGGGTCTTTCTCTACGACCTCGAGCAGCAGAAGCACGAGCCAAACAAGCCGCACCAGCACTGGGAGTTCTACTGGCACAGGCACCGCTACTTTCACTGAGATCGGCAGTTCCTCCAGCACGAGCGCATTCAAGTCTATATTTAGTAGCAGCACTTCTGGGTCCACATCCACCACCTCCCAGACCAGAAAATTGCCGAGAGCTGCACGTACAACCACGCATGCCATGTCTTCGTCCCTTGGTGCTTCTCTTAAGACGAGCACTCGATGGACATCTTATCAGAGCACCTCCACGGAGAGGAAGATGTTGAAGATGTCTTCCAGCTCTCCGCTGCATACTTCCACCACGTCCACAGCATCACGAAGCTTGGATGTGCTTGAAAGTGGTATGGTCGAGGTCTAGCTGGGTCTGCGAGGGACCGGATCAAAAGCCTTCAGACCCTAAAACTTATGAGCCCTGAACTTTGAACCCGAAACCCTTAAAAAAAAACCTTATTAAACCCTAACCTCTGAACCGAGGAGATTTCTCCTCCACCAGCACTTTCACGACCCCCGTGGCCTTTGGAGTGACTGTCGCCACGACCGGAAGGGTCCAGTCGCCAGCCCCTGGGAGTGCCTTGGCCGCTGTTTGAGGGAGTTTGCGGTTTACGTTTAGGGTTTGGGGTCTCGGGTTTACCTGTAGCCGAAAGGGCCTACCTTTTTCGGGTTCCTTATTATGGTTTCTATATAAGATAGTTCCTTAAGACGGTAGGTCTTTTCGGCTAGAGGTAGGGTTTCGGACAGCTTGGGTAGCAACAATCAAGAATCATCATATCAGTCTGACAGTTGACAATTGCTCCCGGGTGTTTGGAATAGACATTTGATCGTGCTTGGGGGGCTACTCCCCCTGAACCCTGAGCCCTAAACCCCTAGGGCGCCTCCTCTTTGTGTGTACAGGGGCCCTCACAAGCAGGATTCAAGACTAACCCCTAAACCCTGAACCAAAAATCACGAAGAGTATCAAATTTGAGGACTCGAAGCGCAGGCCGTAGTGGCATAGGACGCCCCAAGCCTTCAGTGCTCAAAGCTGTACTACTCCCCGAAGGCTTCAAAGAAGTCTGGGCTGCCAGGCCTATAAGGGTACCGTTAAGGGTTCCTTTAAGGGCTCCTTTAAAGGGCCATTAACTGAGACTTCTGAGGTTACCAGACCAAAACGGTCCAAGTGACAGTATAGTATATACTTTTCGGGCGCAGATACCTCCTCAGAACCTAATGTAATGGTACATGGACCCTTTGGGCAACTGCTGAGCCATCGAGAGTTTAGGGCTTGGGGCCTGGACAAAGCGGCCGCCCTTTTGAGATCAGGGTTTGGGGTTTGTGAGTTCGGACTTCGCATTGCTGAGGTAGAACGATGACAACGACAACGACATCTCTGGTTGTGGAGCCCTTGCCATTTTTATTTGAATTCATGTTAATGCTTCAACTAGAAGGGATTAAAGAGCAGGAATAGAATCTAGTTACCCAAGCCCAACCATCCCAAATTTGCACCCTGTGGCTGCCAATCCGTGAAGGGAAGGTCATCTCGGATTGGGCCTTTCCAAGAGATGTTCCTTCTGCGGTGGAGGGGTGAGGTTGCTGAGGAGTTGAAAGTAGGGTTCCATGTTCAGGGTTTAGAGCCTTTGGGCTGAGGATCGAGGGGGCACTGTATGGGGTTGTGGGTTTTACTTAGGGTTTAGGGTTTAGAGGGTTTTCGGCGGATCAAGGGCTTCATCTTCTTCAACTCTTTCGTGTCGTCCTTCCAGCTCAATTGCAAGAGCTTTCCATGACTTAACATGAGGTATTGGGTGCTCGAACCTCACACGCGAACACACTAAAGCCAGATAACCTACATCTGCAAATCCCTGGCAAAAGAAAAAACCCTAAGCCCGAAGCCCTGCCTCAACCCCAAAACCCAGCCCTCTTTGGGAGGAGGCAGTGCTGACCTTGTCCGAGACTGGAGAGGATCTTCCTGGAATGGAGCCTCAGAAGGAAGAGTCAGGAAGGGGCTTCCATGGCTGCTGACAGGGGTTTTGTAGCGGGGGGCTTCTTCGGTTCAGAGATACGTTATGGCAGTATCATTCAGGGGATAGTAAGAGACTATGGTCGCTCAATATTCAGGCCTCTGTGTTATGAGTAGCCTGTGTAGGGGTCGAGGCGCAGATTGGGGGTACAGGGGCTTGGGTTGACGAGTTTTGCTCTAGAGTTGCTGCTTCCGATTTTAGGGTTCAGTGTCTACGATTCCGATTCAAGTATCAGCCGCTGAGGGTGCAATGCTGGGGGTTTACATCTTTGAACCTAGAGCAGTTCGTATCTTGCGCAGTGCATGGCTATTCGGTCCTTTAGTAGTTAGAGTAGAGATGTGTGTATTGGGAGGGTTTCAGGACCTGTACTGACAGCGTCCGTCCTATCGCGGCTTACAGCTCCCACTGTAATGGTCGGACCCGTTCTTTTCACTTTCAAACCCTCAACGAAGCCTTCTCGATTCCCTCCCCTAAGCCGAGGACCCCTGAGGCCTTGAAAGCACGCCTTAAAGCCTTATCCCCCAACCTTATTAAACCTAAACCCCCAAAGGTTACATCCCTAAGCCCTGAACCCCTGAAACCCTGAACTCCTTAATCTCTGAAACCCTGAACTCTAAATCCCTAGACCATAAATCCCAAAGCCCTGAACCTTAAACTGCCCCAAACCTGAACTTGGAACCTCCTGCTGATTCGCGCATACTTAAAGGATCATGGGACTTAGCAACCAGGATTATAGCCTATAGATAAGGTATCTATTATACTTATACACACAGTATATGGTATAAGTACACATAAACCACAATAAAGATACTTCTAGCCAGACTTCTATACCAGGTCCCATGATCCTGCAAGTTTTCCCGAGGGCATTGTTGCCAACTATCCGGGGCCCGCGCCGAATATGGCCATGGACTTTACCCATCAGCTACTTTGCTATCGCTCTTTGGAAGGCTTTCAGGGTGTAGTCTAGGCGTCTGATGATTCAGCACGACAGAACCTACCCTAAACCCTAAGCTTTCTTTTTGTATGGAAGCCTTCGACAAGCCTGGTCGAAGCATGAGTAGGGATAGATTTTATCGCGTCGTTTCCCATTGAAGGTAAGCCTCCCGTATAGAACCGGTTTAGGGTTTAGGGTTTAGGAAAGTTGTAATATCATTATCGTAACCCCTTTATTGGAAATTATAAGGTATCCTACCCTGAAACCATATTCCAACTTTCTGGAGTTCCCTTTAGAACCCTAAGCCCTGAACCCACTGAAAAGCTGTCGGGAAGTTGCTTGATCGACCCCCGGGTCTCATGTGAGTGTGCCTTGCCGCGTTGCTTCGTTCCAGCCCCAATTTCTTTGAGTCCACCGCGTTTTTAGGGTTTGTGACCTAACACCCCACGGGGTAGGTAGAAGACTGGCCCAAGATCTATAGAAGCCAATTTGTCTACATACTTTGGGGGTCCAGGTAGTGTTTGATATAGGCGACTCAGGAGGATCTGAACTGAACATACGGTTGATGATCGAAATCCTGCATTACCTTAATGCCCCTACACTATAGAAATTACGGCATATTCCTTGTTATGGGTATAATGCAGGATTTATGTCATCAACCGTATCTCCTCTCTGGACAATTACGAGGGACCCGACAAGCAGCGCAGATTTTGGTTGGCTACGCTGGAGCCCCCAAACCCTACCTGGACGCCCAATCAGCTACCCTTTTAAGGGCTGGTATGAAGAAATCATAAAGAGGAACCCCTAAAAACGAAGGTGTTATAGGGTACCTAAACCCCTGATCATCTTTTCGGACTTTCGATGCTTGCTATAACCCTAAAGCCTGAACTAAGGCTCTCTACAAGCCACGGCCCCATGGAGGCCTATGCGGCTGTCGCTTGGATGCTGGAGAAACATGACAACCCGCATACCTCAAATCCTCAGGGGTTTAGGGATTTAGGGTTCAGGGGCCCTATCTTGAGATACCAAAACCTATCCTTTTTTGTAGGGGCCTTCTAACTTCGCTGTTGCAGTTTGAAACAAGAACTTACAGACAAGTAGGCTATATTAGGCTATGGTTTTTTTAAGGTAGATCCCCAAAGCCCAAACGAATATAAGATGTCTCGCTTGTAATATGGCCCCTGTCTGACTGTCACTGTAAAAACACCCCGAAAGCCTGGTTCAACTCCTAAGCCCTAAATCCCAAGCCTTGTCACCCAACCGCAAAACCCCAAAACTCAATATCAAGACCTTTAGCGTTAAGCCCCAAGCTCTGAGCCCTGAATCTAAAGTACAAGCAGGGGGATGGCAGAAGAGTTTCGAGGTGCGCTTCTCCCGACGATTTCGTGGTCCCTTTGGGTAAGCCAACTTCAAGCCCTGAACCCTTAAAGATTGAAACAGAAGAGGTAGATCCTAAACCCTAAACACTAAAGATCAGAGTTCCGTCTCCAGCAGTCTGGGTTTTCGTTGTTGCGGGGGTCTTATCATGAGCCCGAATACGGGCTTTACACCTAGACTCTATAAGCCCTTTAGACCCTTAAACCCTCCACGCCCTCAACGCTTTCCTACCTTCACTGCGCTTGTTTGGTCCGCTCTTGTTTGCTGTTTTCAGGCTCCTCCTGTCCATCTTGCTCTGCCGGACTCAGAAGGCGTTTGGGGATTCTGGTTTGGGGTTTAGGGCTTAGGAGTTTGAGGGATTCTGGTCTATAGGAGGTTAGGGTTTCGGGGCTGGGGCTTGGGGGTTTAGGATAGTTTGGTTTTTGGAGTTTAGGGTAGTGTTTAGGGACCTTGCGGGGATTTGTAAACCAAATGTTCCCATTGTACCCGTTGGCATGTATTTATGATTCTTCGGCTTTGCAGATTGTCCGTCACCGTATACTTCATGACTGCGTGTTCAAGGGTCATATGAGCTATTATTGCGTGCGATTTGTTGTTCCTAACTCTTAACTATTTGTACTCCTAAATTAATTATTCTTCCCTATTATTAAATAATTGTTATTGTTGCTGTTTACTAAGATGACGGTTCCAGGAGATTAGGATGCCTCGGCTGCAGAGTATCTGCGACATCTGCGCACCAACCGCTAAATCCGTCCGCGCTCCCCAGGAAGAACAGCGACAACGACAACGACACGACCACCACCAGCACCAGCACCAGCACCACCACCAGCACCAGCACCAGCACCAGCACCACCACCACCACCGCCGCCGCCGCCACC